CACCAAGGCTATTTGATGCAGTTCAGGATAGAGTGACAGACCCTTCACATTCTGCAGACAGGATAGGGTAAAATAAAAAACGGATAGCCGCCATTTTGTACCAGCTCTGCTATGGCTTGAGTGAAAAGTGCGACTGGTTTAAATGTGACAATGCAGTCGTCCTCAATGACTATCACTTGAATCAACAAGGTTTAGTGCTGAGCATCTCATAGGGAGCTCCTGCAACAGGCAAAAGGCAAATAAAATTTTTCATAACTTGTCATCTTGCGACACCAGGAACATCAATGAGCTTGTTTCAGGGGCAATTTTACATAAATTGCAACTTGTGCAGCCTATGATATATGACTATATACACCACTACAGTGTATACACAGCCAAACTGACATTGGCAAGCCAAGTGCTCCTAAATTCATGTGCACAAACACTGAATATATGAGACCCAGAGTATCAAAAGATCTATTTTTATCGGAGAGTGAAAAGTTACCCTTGTGGCATTTAGTTGTTGCCCACAACTAGCGATACCCCTTTAGATATTTCAGGATTTCTAAAGTGTCATTGATACGAATTTATATTCAAGAAGGAAAGAAATCTTTTGGATAGAAAAGGAATAATAACATTCATGATTTTTGTAAGCGTACAAATACATTGTATGTGATGAAGCTAATTCTTATGTGGATGCCAATGTAAGGAATCAAATACAGGGATTTCATGTCCAGTGCTGCAAAGGTGAACAAGGGCAAGAATTGTTTTGCGCTTGAACTTGTGCTAGTGTCAAAGTGGGAGTAATATTGTAATGGTCATATGAAAATGCATTAAATCACACTTATTAAATCACTTTTATAGTAGGACTGGGAAAAGAATGCACATATGTGTATTTTCATATTTTATATTGATTTCAGTTATGTTTCAAGACATTATGTAAACATTTTAAGCATAACATTACAATTCTTTTAGGCGCCAATTTTGTATGTATAAACAAATCATCATTGAATAATTATCAGAATAAAATCATCTTCCAAATGGTGAGGGTTGTTGTCAGTGAATCTGAGAGCTTACAGTGCATGATTATTAAAACGCAAATTCATCAGTGTTCCCCCCCTTGGATGCAAAATCAAACATTCAAGAATGAATGAGTGTTCCGAAACAATGCTCTTACAAATAAGTTTTGTTGGGATATACTTTTACATGTTAACGAAAAATCTAAAAACAAGGTTGAAAAGGACAAGAAAAATTTGTCCATCTTTAACGAAGTTTTAGCAAATAATATTTCACAATCCACCGCCTCGATCTCTTAATCTCTGAGAATAAGTAATCGCCATAGAGCACCAATGTAAACCAGAAAAGCAAATTTTCGAAAATGGAAGGAAACATCCGACTATGGCCTTTCTTGTAAGAGTAGCAAATTTGCTTGTTGATTTCATGCCGCTAAATAGTATCAAAATACTCAAAGTTCCCCCCTTTGAATTAACCATTAAAAGTGAAAATACGGAGCGACCGAAAGAGAAGTTTAACCTGTTTAGTCGCTTGTGTGGGATATATAACTGGATCTCGCTGTACGGTCAGGGTCAAATACTACAAAAATACGGGGGTCACACAAATTATGTCGAATTCAGGCTGCTATAATTTTAACACATAACATTCGATGATGCTGCTCCACATTTCACAAAGTAAATCAAGGGGTATATCTTACCTAAATGTTAGGCAGCTCTGCAGATCGTGGACGATAACCCAGAAATCCGTGACCGTTTGAATGTCAACAAATCAACATATCACAACAAACGACCTTGTGAACGCTTTATCTGCTTCATCAGAGGAGCCAAATGAATGAAAATTAACCACCTAAATGGTCCTTCTCCCATACATGACATTTCAACATGGCTTAGCCAAAGTATCCAATCTATAAGACATGTCTGTTGTCGATTGGGTATGCAAACAAATCTCCCTTGAAAGTGCTTCAGAACGGCTTTCGGCCATTACGATTTCCCGTCAACAAGTGCTTCCCAGCAAGCTTGACGCATGCGCAAACGTTACCACTTGCTGTTAGTAGTAAATAGTAGTAGTAGTTCTCTCGCCCGCTCTTTCCCAGACTTCGCGCGGACAACGGGGCAAGAGAGAACGCCTAGGGACTAGGCTGCTACTTCTACATGTTTGTTTACATTCAGTGTCGTCGTCGTCGTCGACCTACCGATCGACTTCATCTTAAGTTTCCTTTTTCCCGCCGAAACTGACGTTCTCGTTCCAGTCTTTTCCCAGTCAACAGACGTCGTCGTCGTGAACTTCGTCGCGGTTCTTAAGTTCCTTTTGGCGTCGACACCACGACGACGAAATATTTGTTAACCGCGCTTGCGCAGTGCACGGTATCTCACTTCCGGTCGTCGTCGACAAATTAGCACGACTTGGTTTCAGACGTCAGATGAGACGTCGAATTTAATTCACACAATGACAGTCGAATGGAACGGCTGTCGCCAAAAACAAAACACAAAAATAATGAAACGGTTTAGCAAACTTTTAAATATATTCTAATGTATTTATAATTCATGAATTGAGTTCGGCACGGCGGTAGCAAGACGTCGCGCTACTGCCGTGCTAAAGTCGAATTTAATGCGATCAATTGAGTTCGGCACGGCAGTAGCACGACGTTTGAAACGGGCCTACTCCAAAGAAGATTTTGTATCTAAACATTTTCTCTCATTTTCAGTAAACGATTTTCTCTCTATATAAACCTTTATATAGAGAGAAAACCGTCGGCCCATGGACCACACAGTGGGAGACGTAACACACATGGAACACATTTTATGTATTAAAGGTAAGCTGTTTTTTAATTGAAATCGTTTCATTTTCGTAGGTTACGGAAACGATGGGTTTTTTTCCATGCAAAACCTTATATTTCGAATGTTGTGCAACAATGTCGATGGTCGCCGATGCTTATGTTTCGAGCCTGGGCTACCTCTGGGGAAAGTAGATTAAATTATGCTCGTTGTGCCAAATTATCCCCTAAACTTATGCTAGCACAACCTATCGAGGCCTACCGTGGAAACGAGGTCTGCCCCACGGGGGGCGGGGGAACTTCCACACAAAGATAACCTGAGATCAGATCCAATTTTGCCAGCCTTCATGATCTTCATGATCTCAGGTTAATATGAAAATGATAGATGTGCTTTTTCTCTCGCTTAGAGATGTAAATTGCAGGTTTTAGTCGCACTTTGGGTGTTAAAGAAACTTATTATATAGATACTGATGAAATACCAGGATTTTTCCTGTTACTAAAAAATCATTTCTTCATCGGGGCAGTGAAGATACTATTTTTATCTTTCACGTGTGAGGATATTGGTGTTGCCTTGGAATTTTTCACTCCTTCATTGGAATTTTGACTTTTTGGAACAGAAAATATGAGTATTATTGTCGTTATTTCTCTTTAATAACTTTATATCCGAGTTTCATAACATTTATGTGACAGGCATTTTGCGATAGGTGACCAATTTAAGTGCCCTATTTTGCTGTTTCCAAAATGAATATAAAAAAAAAAGTTGAATTTTATGTAGGAATTTCATCGGTATCTATGAAATAAACAGAACATTACATGGCCACTTGGGGATACGAATTTCATCTTATCGTATCCCCAAGCGGCCATGTATCATTTCCTCTTTATTCACCCGGGAGGAGAGAGGCTACGACCGGAAATACCTCTGCGTTGGCATGCTTCTGGTAGCCTGCGTAGCAAGCGTTTCTGTACGGTTTAGGAGAAAAGAACGAGGAACGAGAGTCAAAGACCGCGAGAAAAGTGGCGCAAGTAAAAGATCGGGGAGGGGGTGGGGAAGAAGGAAGGAAACGCTTGCAGACAAACCCCGGGATTTTGAAAACCACCCACTTGGTCTGTCACGCCTGAGTTCACGAACCGACATTTGATGCTGTCATCAACTGTCATAATTGACCAATAAAATGTTTGGCCTTCCGTGGAGCGGAAATGAACTTTAGAGGACGCTTTTTTGAAACTAAAATAATTTTTTGTGTGTGTGTTTTGGAGCGCTTGGACGGCGTTAATGGTGAAATCTCAATGAATCCGAACGATCAATGCAGGCTTTGTACATTTGTCTTCTTAATCCGTCTAAAAGGAAGGACCGCGAGGGTGAATGAAGTTTTAAAGTTTTAGCTCTAAACCTCCAGAAAGTTGGATTTGAAGTGGTAAAATGTGACAAGCATTCAAGTCTAGATCAGCTACACAGAACGGCTTACCGTTCTCGCCACGGCACAGACAACTAGAGTGCTCTTGTAACAGCATCCTAGAACAAAGCTAACCCGGCAACTGAGGCCTGGTTCAGACGCCGCACTTTTCATGTGCCGAACCTAACTGAATAAGTTCGACTTTGGAGTGACACTGGCGCGACATCTGATTAAGTTCGACAAAAGTTCGACAGACTCTGTCGAACTTAACGCTTTTGCCACACCAAACTAAAACTGCCGTACCAAATGGGTGTCTGTAAAACGCGGACCGGATACCTGCGGATGGCGGATGCGGATGGGAAAATGCGGATAGAAAAGTGCGGATCAGGAAAAAAAATGCGGATAACAAAAAAAGTAAGAGGAAAAAACCGAGAAATGCGGATGGCAAAAAATAATAATAATCAAACAAACAAAGGAAAGAAATCTTTCTTTCAAGTCGCTGTCACATGGTTGGACCCTTCACTTACATAATGAACGTGATGCCAATAGTTGGTACAGTTTTGTACCCTGTAATTCCTTTCATTTAATAATGTCACAGAAATAAGGACGCTCCTTTCCTCCTCCTTAAATGCACGCATACTTGGTGCACTTTTCCTTTGAGTGTTTAGCCTAAGGTTTGCAGGCAAGGTAAACAGCTCAAAAAATCGGCCTATCCGCTGGATAAAGTTATCCGCTCTTTGAACAACCGGGGCCTGGTGAGCATACTATACCTGTCAATTTCATTAGCGAAAGTCTCCTCCCCCGCAGGGGATCTGCTTCAGTGTGTGTGGTTTTATACAATGGCCGTAGCGAAGAAGTTATCTAATGCTGAGCTTGCATCACTCAAGCAAAAGTTCATACAGTGGTTTGCGAAAAAAGCCCAGAGGGAACTGAACATTCTCATCACAGGGAAAACTGGTGTAGGCAAATCTCGGCTTGTGAATGCTCTTGTCGGACGAAACGTCGCGAAGGAAGGGCGAGAGAAAAGGCCCTGCACAACCGATATCAACCCGTACAGTATTTTCTTAAATGGTATCAAAGTCGTAGTTTGGGATTCCCCTGGACTTCAAGATGGAACAGGTAACGATGAACTTTATTTGGCAAACTTGAAGAAACATGGCTTTGATATCATGATCTATTGTATCAAGATGGATGATAAAAGATTTCATTCTGAGGACAAGATGGCCGTCCGACAGCTTACAGCTAGTTTTGGAAAGGATCTTTGGAAGAAATCCGTGATTGCCTTAACCTTTGCCAATAAAATTGAAGACCCAGATGAGGAGGACGAGTTGGCATACTTCATGGGCGACTTGTATTTTTGGCAAAAGGAGATTGACAGTTATTTAGGTACCGAGCTGGGCATCGAGTCTCGAGTACGCAATGATATTCCAATCACTCCCAGCGGCAACTCTAAAAAGCTTCGTTTACCTTCTTGTGATCACTGGCTCGCTGATTTGTGGTCGAAGTGCTTTTCTGTTATGGACCATTCCTCGGGACTGGCGTGGTATGAGATAAATAAGGATCGCGTAAAATTCTCGTGCTCTGCAGAGATGGCAGCCGCGTGTAGCTCTAGCTCAATGAGTGCTCAGGGTGAATTGTCAAGTAGTTTTAAATCTGAAAGTTCCCAAGATACAGATGAGTCAGAGGACATTCCAAAAGAGATTCCCTTGAACGATAAACAAGAAATTTCGCTTCTGAAAAAAATGTGGGAGGCGTTTGTGTTGAGTGGTGCAGTAACACTCGCTACAGCGGTAACTTTTACTGTTCTTACGGTACTATTTCGACGCTAAGCGTTCGCAACTAGTACCGCTACTTTTAAGGCTGTCATTGGAACGAAGGATTATCCCTTTCATTACTTTAATAACTGAACTTGAATATACATTTTTTATAATTGAATCATTTTAGTTCACAACAACTGCGAGCCATCAACATATCAACATATCAGGTGCATAGGGAGGGGGGTGCGATGGGTGCGCTTGCACCCCCACCCACAGGCCCCAGAGGTCCACTTTTTTGTTGATCAACGATTTAAAAGAAAGTAAATTAATAATATTTATTTTCAGTTGTAAGTCACTGATTGTGTAGTAAAACTGAAAATACTGTGAAGAGTTGACAAGCACTGACTCATCCTTTTTACAAAAAATGTGTAGCCTTTGTTTATAATTATGAAAAAGGGGATTTGGTATGCCAACAAGGCATATACCCCTTGCTGATTTGTCGCTTACCCTTTAATTTTGTTGGGTAAGGTCTGTTTTCAAGGATTCGTAGTGTGGATTGAGCAAATGTTTTCTTGCCGCCTTTTTTCTTTCACTGGGAGGTTATGTTGTCTTTTATGTGGGGTGATTTCCACCAATATTAACTTTCAAATTTCAGTGTGCCATTCTCCAATGCTGTTATTCAGTTTTCTTAGAAATTCCTTTATGCAGTTTTGAATCCTATTATTCCCTTTCAAATTCTGTTTTTCATTTTTCTGATTTTATTATGCCATTGTGAATCCTTTTATTCACCAAGTTAAAGTTGTATACTGTTCTTTGTAGTGCTAGAAACTGTGATAGATTGGAATTCTTAATAAGTGCACCAAATTTTAAACTTAAAACGGTAAACTGAACCTTACGGTAGGAAAAGTGATAGAAAAAATAAAGAAAGAAAACAAAAATAAACTGGTGAATTATATTTGCCCGATATTTCGGTTCGCAACTAGGGTTAGGGTTAGAGCCTCAAGGATAATGCCGGCATAATGGACCTTTTTTCAGCATGAAGAGAATAATAATAATAATAAAATTAGTATTTCCATAACTGTTATGAGAAATATTCGCATTCAAATGCCTTAGTACGGATTTTAAAAACATGTTCAATGGTATGGACTAATGGTTGCTACCTTCAAGTAGTGGTTGTGCTGTTGCATTGATTCTTATTTTCCGGACTGCCAAGGCATTCCAGTTTTCTTTATATCCATCATGGCTGCCAGCAAATGATGCAATGAAATGCTGTGTCTCTGACTTATAGAGGTATTTTTTTGACTGCAGGAATGGAAAAGGGTATCAAGTATAACCAAGATCACCCGAGCATCGTGCTACATTTCGAGCGGCATAATTTTCGGCATAATGCTGTTGTTTTGAGGGTGATGCTCAAAAGCATAATGCTCAAATTTTTTAGCATAATGTATCTGACCCTATTTGCAACACAAACCTTCAACGGGGGCTATAAAAGAAAAAAAAGCCCCTGTTGAAGGTTTGTGTAGCAAACCGAAATATCGGGCAATACAATTCACCACTTTATTTTTGTTATCTTCCTTTATTCTTTCTATCACTCTTAGTGCCGTAAGGATCAGTTTACTGTTTTAAGTTTAAAATTTGGTATTGAAAATTTTACTGACCCAGGTCTACTAAAGATCCGCTGAGCCTCACTGGTTTGTTGTTGTGGGTTTTGCCTTCACAGGTGCTTTTGAGATCATGTAACTGATATACACGCTATAAAAAATAAAATTCGATATAATCTGATGCAACTACAATAATTCTTATAATAATTCTTCTCGATACAAAATTGGGAAAGGTACAAGGTATATTAACCTCATCTCCAGGGCCTTTCCCCAAGAGAGAATTCTCTCTTGCTTTCCCTTAGAAAGGTTGCTATGGGAATAGCCCTGTAGCCGAGTTTGAAGGCATATATGAGGACTGAAATAGAATAACAACATAAAGGCACTATGAAATAGCCCTTAAACAAAAACTAGAAAAATCACTCAAAAATAAATCATCGCTAAAAGTGAACAAAAATTTTAGAATTGATAGATGTCATAGATGTCTTTGATTCCTTTTGTTTCTATCGCCCATTAGAAAAAGTTGTAAATTGCTTGGTTTACCCACGAAGCACCTAGGAGTTCATTTGAACTCGTTTGAATGTGTCCGTGCGTTCCAGATCTAATTGGAATTTGGAAGTGTTGGTTTTTGAGGAGAGGGGAAAACCGGAGTACCCGGAAAAAAACCTCTCGGAGCAAAGGTGAGAACCAACAACAAACTTAACCCACATATGGCGTCGACGCCGGAAGTTGAACCCGAGCCACATTGGTGAGAGGCGAGCGCTCTCACCGCTGCGCCACCCTTACTCCCTTGCTATGGACCACTCACGGTCAGCGCAAACGCCAGTTACTCAGGAAACAAGCAATGAAAGATTCTTTTTCACTCTTTGAAGTCTTTGAAGATCTATGTACATGATTTGAACTCTCACCAAAGCAACCGAAAATTTAATGGGTGTCGATAATGCTAAAAAAATGCCCCCTCCCTCGCCAGGAGGCATTTGATGGCCATCGGCCACCCTGAGAAGGGCGGGATCTGATAACAATAACTTGACGAATTACTGGGTTGTATTATGAACTTGGCAGATTATCTCTCAATTTACAAATAACAATTAACATTCTCAAGTTTTGGATTCACCTTGAAAATCAATCCCCTGACAGCATCGCTGAACTCTGCTTAAACATATCAAATATAATGGCCCAAGAAAATATTCAGGTTTGATAAATAAAATATATCATTTGTTTTCACAACTTAATATTAATAAACAATCTGTTAACTTTAACAACCCTTATACTTTCTTATCCAAAGCTGAAAATAATTTGTCCGAAATGGGTTTCTGCCACCAGCTAAATTTGATAAGAACAAATAAAAAACTAAAACTGCTAAAATTCTACTCCATCTTTAAAAATGAAACAAATTACTCTGAATTTATCAATCATATCCGGAATCCTGAACATAGACGTGTAGCCAACAAATTTAGGATAGGAAATCATAACTCAAAAATCGAAACTGGAAGATTTACAATTCCCAAAACTCCTGAAGATCTTAGAATTTGTGATCACTGCAATCTAAATTCCGTTGAAAATGAAATGTACATATTATTTCACTGTGATCTGTATAATGATTTGATGAGAAAGACTCTTTTTATTAAAATCAACGACCGAAATACACATTATTTACAAATTACAATATCCATGATAAAGTCTGTTTTCTTTTCAACAATCTGATTCACATATCAACAGACTAACTGCTAATTTCGTCAGTTTCAAGCATTTGAAAGACGAAAGAAACATACCGTGAAATAATAATTAATTATACCATTCGATGAGATCTTCATTATTATTTGTTTATTGTTATTTTAGTCGGTAACACCTGTACAAATGGTGTATTAGACTGTTGTTTGATCGAGTCATCACAGCACTTCAAGAATCCTTCCGGCTGCCTGGATAGTAGTAATCGACAGAACCTTGGTTTGAACTCCGCGTTACCATTGAAAGATAGCGACACGGCCTGAGACTCAAATCACTCACACTCGGGGTGGGAGACAGTCTCTTGCTCCCATTGACATCAATACCCGAGAAAGAAAACAACTGGAGCAAGAGACTGTCTCCCACCCCGAGTGTGAGTAATTTGATGTCTCAGGCCGCTTAGCTATCTTTCAACGGTAACGCAGAGTTCAAACCAAGGTTCTGTCGATGGCTTCAGACGGGAAAGGTTGCAGAGATTTGCGACCTTTGATTCGCTCTCGGTGCAAAGGCGTCTTGAAGCAAGATAACGAACGGAAAGGAGAACTATCGTGTGTTACGAATTTACGGCCGTTTTCCTTCGGTGGATCAGTCGGGCCGCTTCGCTGGAGTGCCCAACCTTGCTAACCGCCCGGGGGGAGACTCCGCATATGAAAGGGGTAGGAATGCTCGTCGTCTCGCTTAGGGGTGTAAATTTCGGATTTTGGTCTCACTTAGGGTGCACTGGGCAAAACGCCATCATATTTAGCCGGGAAGGGTTGCACGCGAAAAAATATGAAAATATATATTTGATATGTATATTTCTAATGGGCCATTCATATAATCCAAGTTTTCTCATGTGTCTGTGTTTTAACATGGTCTCTTTTAGGGGTAAAAAAAAGCTTGGTCCACGCCCAGATCGGTCTCCTTTAGGGCTTAAATTCAAAATTTCCGACTAGCATCCCCACTCCTTTCATATGCGGAGTCCCCCCTCCCCCAGGTGCTAACCTTTATATAGAGAGAAAACCGTTTATATAAAAACCCATAAAACGGCCATAAATCGGTCCGTGGACCACACAGGAGAGACGTAACACACATTTTAAGTAAGGGAAGCTGTTTTTTATTGAAATCCTTTCTTTTTCGTAGGTTACAGAAACGATAGGTTTTTTTTCCCATACAAATCCTTATATTTCGAATGTTACGCAACAATGCCGATGTTCGCCGATACTCATATTTCGAGCTTGGGCTACATGTGGTCACGCAGGGTTTCAGTATGATTAGATGCGATATTATTGAGATTCTCTATGGGTATTTCCGACGAAAACGAAGTTGCAAAGATCGCTATTGACGAAACGACGATAAGAAAAGAATGGCCAACGGCTAATGGCTAATGGTTTTATTGTAAATTCGCGGCTATTTTCTTAAATTTCATGACGTAGTATCTTTGTTCCTTTGTTTTATTTATTTACTGTTATTGATTTATAATAGTTAGTCTTAGTATTCAACGTATTGTACAGTCCGTAATCCAGCCCTTGGGCTGCAATGGATTTTTAATAAAGCTATCTATCTATCTATCTATCTAAATACAAAAAGCTGTTTTTGCAGGCTATTCTTCTTGTTACTCAAGACTAGTTTCCTTAAAATTAAACTTGCCACACCGAGTTGATGTATTGTTCATTAAATCAGAGGATTTTAAGTATAACGAAACCTGCAACTGCCATAAAGCCAGAGCCGGCGAGAGCCTTCGGAGCCTCACGCTTAATTAACTCCCACATTCTGGTCCAAAGCGTATTTTGCTGTTTCTCGGTCAAAGGTATATCGCCCGGAATGTCCGTCGGGTTAATTTTGGTTGCTGCCAGAGCTTTAGAAGTTGCGGGATATACTAAGCGATGCTTGCTTATCTTGAACAGAGCTATCCCTGCGGCATCACTCATTACAGAATAGCAACATAACCACAACTCACTGAGCCAGTTATCACCGTTGGGTAGCGGTCTGGGCTTCTTGGGATTTCCAGTAGAATTTCCAACCGCGACAATGGGAAGTGCCGTGAGTACTTCGGAATCGATATCTAGCTCATTTCGTAAGATTCCATTCGGCGCACCTCTTAATTGCCTTTCCCACTCAGTAAATTCTTCCAGAAAATAGATTTCGTGGTCCTCCTCATCTGGGTCTTGAATTGTGTTGGCAAACGTTAAAGCTATCACAGTTTTTTTCCAAACTTCTTTTCCAAACCCCTCTGTCAGCTTGCGAATGGCCATCTTGTCTTCAACATAAAATTTCTTGTCGTTCATTTTGAGGCAGTAAATTACGACATCAAGGCCATGTTTCGAATTTACAGATTTCAAGTTTTCAAGGTAATTAGCGTCGCCATCTTGAAGTCCAGGAGAATCCCAGACAAGCACGTCAATACCTTCAATTACAACTTTGTGCGAAGTTGTAGTGTTTGTGCAAGAATCTCGCTGTCGCCCTTCCACCGCAACATTTCTCCCCACAAGAGCATTCACCAAGCGGGATTTGCCAACGCCAGTCTTACCGGTGACAAGAAAGCTGAGTTTCTTCTGCGGATTCTTCGCAATCAGTTCTAGAAGAAACTGCTTCCATCCCTCCAATTCAGTGTCGGATAGTAATTCGGCCATTTTCACAAACAGACGAAGTGAGAGAGACGGAACAAGGCGGAAGTACTGAACTCATTTCCAGGTTACCATCTTTAAAATCTGGGGAGGAAGTCCTGGTTGCGGTGTGACAGTGATATGGGCATCCCCGCGTTTTGGGCATCCCCATTCCCATATCCCTAACGTTTTGGTCATTCCCGGTGGGGTATGCCCAAAACGCTGATCGCTTCGACTTTGCCTAAATTATTTCAGACTGGGGTAAAGTCGGAATTGTCAATCACGAATTTACGGCTGAATAGTGTAGATGCATGTTAGAATTATATCGTCTGACACCGTTTCGCCGGGTTTATTGCGCAGAAAAAAACCCATAGGCAGTAAACGTTGGCTCAAACTGATGACGAAACTGAAATTTACAACCGCATAACATCGCCTAGCTCGCTGCACAACGCTTCATTGTTTGCAAAGCTTCAATTTTATTTAATAGAACTGTTTACAAGCGAGCAATGCCGTAATCGCCGGCAGCTGCGATCGTCTGATTCCAAACAGCCAAAAACAAGAATACTAAACAAAGCAATCAAAAGACAAACATGAATAAAACTGCGTTTTGCGGTGTTGAATTCATGGCATGCATGACGTTTGAGGCCTGTACAACTTAACCCCGCAGCGCTACTTGACACACGAAAGGCTGTCACACAATTTATACAGAGGCCTCTTGTACCTACGGGACAGAAGAATACTGTTGCCGTTTTGGGATGTAGTAGGGGCTTCTATTAAATCAATTCCGACCAAGTACCACCCCTTGGGAACAACCTTCACAGGGTGCAAAAGTATTATCGCGGCCGGCGTGTCCAGAGAAAGGAGCAGAATGGCACTCTTCGAAGACCTTCGCTTTCTCTTCCTCGGTGATAACAAGACGTCGAAGCGCTGTGCCATCCTTCTCCTTGGCCACGTAGAACAAGGACTCTAATTTTGAGTCATACTCGAACTTTTTGGCAAATTTTCGCAGAGTCGTTTTTTGTTTTGTAAAGCTTTCCGGATAAGTCTTCTTTTTAAGATACTGGAAAAAATTTCTATATTTAGCGGAAGCCATCTCTAAAACGTTTTCGGTTTTCCCGCGAAATCCAGCATTTGTTTGGAGGGGATGACCAAAACACTAGGGATTTGGGCATCCCGGGAGGGTACCAGGGGATGCCCAAAACGCTGCAGTAATATGAGAAGGGGATGCCCAAAACTCTAGGGATTTGGGAATGGGGATGCCCAAAACGCGGGGATGCCCAAAACGCTGTGACAGCGGGAGACAAGACGAGCCCGCAATCCTAGTCTCCAGGCCCCGGTTGTTCGAAAGCTGGATAGCACTATCCACCGGATAAATCTCTATCCAGTGGATAAGTATTAGGGAAACCGATCGCACTATCCACTGGATAGAGATATATCCGCTGGATAGCACTATCCACCTTTTGAACAACTGAGGCCAGGTTGTTGCGGGCGACAAAAGGAGCCCGCCACCTATTCTTGGTCAGCGGCATACTCTTAACTGTATAGCGAGATTTTTTCTCGATTTGTTCACATTCCTGTGTTACACCGACTAATATGCATTGTATGAATGGTATGTGGCCTCGAAGGCCTGGTGTTGAGTTCAAGGTCCGTATGATGTCACAGTAATCACGTGAATGCACATGCAAGTGATGCAACAATCATTATTAAACGAGCTTGCTTTAGGAGAGCGAGACTTGAAAAATGCAGGCGTTTTTTTTCGTCGGTCTGCCCGAAATGAGAAGCCCAAAGACTACTGCAAAACTGATTCATAACAACGTGTATTGTTTTTTTTATAACAATATTTCGCCTGGCCATACCAGCCTTCTTCAGGTTTACAGATGTTACTGAACTTATGTAGCAAGCAATGTCGGCCATGGTCTCAGGCGTTCCTATATAGTGGAGACCTTGAAAACTGGGGATAAGAATCATGACGACTTTCGTTGTATGCAAATGAGTCTTGTGATAAGCATATAGCATGCGGTTTATTTTCGGCGATGATCGAAAAAAGAAAGAAAATTAAACCCGAATTGTAGCACATAGGAGTTCAACGTGTCCTTGCGTTCCAGATCGAATTGGAATTTGGAAGTGTTGGGTTTTGAGGAGAGAGGAAAATTGGAGTACCTGGAGAGAAACCTCTCGGAGCAGGGGAGAGAATCAACAACAAACTTAACCCACATACTGTATGGCGTCGACTCCGAGAGTTGAACCCGGGCCACGTGGGTGGGAGGCGTGTGCTTTCACCACTGCTTCACCCTTGCTCCCCACACATGACGGGTCTACAAAACAAAGACCTAAGACCTAAGACCTAAGACCTAAGACCCAAAAACGAAGACCCTAAAACGAAGACCCCAAAACGAAATGAAATGAAATGAATGGGGTCTTCGTTTTGTAGATTAAGCCATAAATCAGTGAACCGGAACAAGGACAATCACAGCAGCAGGAAATAGGAAGTGCATAATTACGTTACGTCTCAGTGATTTTAAGTCACCAGTATACTTAATTAAATCCACCGCATTTTATTCATGAGATGAGGACAATAGCCTATGACGTCATCGGTGTTAATGTATTCGTGTTCACGCTAATGAGATTCCTGCTCAAAAAAGAGGCCTAACCGGCGCGCCCTATACTACTTGCACTACTTCTGCATTTCCGAGAAACACCTGGCATTTTAAAATGTTCTCTCACATCCCTGGAAGACTATTTCCTCTACTCCTGGAGAACGTTTGGGTTCTCCCAATGAACATGTGATGAAAGTGGATGTGAATTTACCAACTGACTCACCAGTAACCGGATCGACTAGTTTTAAAAAAATGGTAAACGCCCTATATTGTTTTTCTGGAACTAAATTTTGGGAGAGCTTTAAAAACACTTTGCATGAGAAATAACTTGTATGTAAATGTTTTTTTTCTTCATACAGGATCAGTTATGTTCACCTTATGGCGCATTATCGCATGTGTGTCCAAATCCGAGAGCAGACAGCAGCCTTCATACGGGGCTTTAAGACTATCGTGCGTCCTGATTGGCTACAGATGTTTTCCGGTCCTGAGCTTCAGAGGCTCATTTCCGGTGACAGTGTTGCCTTGGATCTCAGTGATCTCCGGTAGAATTGGCTGAGTATGCTGCAGTTAAAGGAGCTGTGTTACAGCTGTCTGGTTCAGCTTGTTAATGTTGCCAGTTACGCTTTCTTATATGTTCTAAAACTTAACCTTTGCGAAGAAATAACGTGTAAATGATAAAATCACAGCTTCTTGTCCAACAAATATCCTCCTAGGCATTATATGGAACGTTACAAACAACGAAAATGAACTTTGAAAATTTATAAGGCTAACAAATTTTCAAAAACCCACAACCGCAATCCATTTTAATCTTTTCTAAGTTTGTCCATCCCTGCCTTCTTATGTACTCACTGTGTTATTAATACCTTTTTTTAATGTATTGTTTGGTCATTTTTATGTTTCACTCAATTTGATGGCAGTTCCTGCTGTTAGAATTTTGATAAATTTTGCGACACAGCTCCTTTAATGATGCATTAGATATAGTTTGTTATTGTTATTATCATTGTCTTTTCTGGCGTTTGAAAGAGGGACGGGAGCATGGTCAGTATGTTAAAGATTGCAAGTATCGCTCCGACCAATGGCTGGATTTTTCTCTCAGTGATCTCAGGGCTGGACTATGCTTGTAAATACTTACATGTAACTGGTTTGTCTCCTGTCAATTGGCTTTTATTCACGTTATGTTTGGTATGGATTATCTGTTTGCGATTTTTCATGTGAACTGTCTGTGACCTCCTTGACGGTAGATCTGCTAAACTGATACACTTCAGATGTAAACTAGGCCTCTTACCGTGTTACAAGGCAGGCCTGTGCACGGAAATAAGTCCGTTACAGGCCATGCCACAGTTGTTCGCAAGGTGGATAAAGCTATCCGCTGGATAGTTCAATTGGTTTCCCGACTATAGTTCATGATCCGGTGGATAGCGCCGCTATCCAACGTTTGAACAACCGTGGCCACATTATTACCCTTAAACATCATGACCTCCTTGAAAGACATTATTTGTTCGTCTTCCTTCTGTTTACGGGGGCTTGAGCAAAGGCGTTTTTGAGCGACGTACGTCAAGCGGAAGTGGGGCATTTTACCTTTTAACATGCTTTGACGCTGCCAAATTTGAATTGCTTAGTGTTTTTTCTGTTATAAAGACTATTTGCCTAATGGACTAACTTACTGCCCAATAATTCCAAAAAGCCACTTTCAGTTGACGTGCGTTGGCTAAAAACCCCTTTGCTTAATTTCCCTAATATCACTCTTTTTGGAGATTTTTTTAAATTCGATCACTCGGTTGTGTACCTTTTTTTCCTTTTCTAAACATCACAGGCGACACACACGATATTACGGCGGCTACCATAGCAACCACAGAGTAGTCAACTGGTTGTGGGATGTTCTAGAAAAGGAGTTTAATGAAGAGGAGAAATCCAGATTCCTGAAGGTATTTTAAACAAAAAGACAAACAGTTTTTTTAATATTGAAAAATATCGAAATACCGCAAAATATTTGTGCGATAAAAAATATTTCAATTTTATAGCAACATCTTCTTCGCCCTTGAAGATGTCCAACTGCTAACTTCAGAGGACTGGAAAGACAGAATCATAAAGAAACGAAATGGCCACACTCCTCGTGATGACGTTACGGGCATAACTTCGAAATACTTCTTTTTGCCCAAAATCTTTTGCTCTGGGTTGTATTTTTGTTGTTTATCACGTTTCTGAAGTAGGAAGTTGGTATTTTAAGCAGACCATTTAACTTGATCAACCATTCAACGCCATTCGGTTTGAGGCCATTTTGACGTCTTCCCTGCATGATCATCTTTTTCTTTTTTCTTCTTGCAGTTTGTTACAAGTTGTTCTAAACCTCCTCTGCTCGGCTTTGCTCATCTTGAGCCACCATTCTCAATTCGCTGCGTAGAGTGTAATGATGACGAGGTAAGAAAAGAACTGTTTACCTAAAACTACCCTTCATGTTACTCAATATGCAGGTTTTCTGCGTCTCTTTGTTTGTTTAATGTAAGTAAATGAAAGGTGATGCATCTTAGACTTCATCCATGCGAATCTGGATATTTTCGAATCCGCTTTTTCTTTTTTTACACAATCGACTTTCCGTCCATACGAAAGCAATGAATCCGCTCACCGAAACAGCATCGTTTTGGAGCCGCTCTCCAGCGGCTTATAAACCCCTTCCACACGTATCCGGATTTTGAGTTATCACACAATAATCCAGTAAACAGGATTGTAAAAGTAACTCATGCACACAATTTGCACGTGAAGATGTTGAACTTTGCCCTTTTACAAATTGAATGTGAAAGAATGCAAATTGTTTACGAGATTAATTTGCTCAAACGATTTTAACAAATCACCTCCTTTTCTAACATCTGCAATAAAATTATGCATCATTCGATGTTGACATTGATACCCTAACATCATTAAGTGCCCTTGTTTGACCATTAGCAACATGACGTTTAGATGTCAAAATCTCATTGGTTCCTAGCATCAACTCATAGTACCTCCAACCTTATTGGCCCATCATTCCAACAACACACATCCCAACACACAAAGCCACAAAGATACATACGCTCAGACCACTGACATATGAGCAATTTTCCTCTAAATAGCTTAAAAACTCAAAATTGTACAAAAATCCTCAATTTAACATTGTAAAATACTGTGTGCCATCATTAGTCTTATTGCGGTTGTGCTTGCTTACCTAGCTGTTGGTACCGTTTCTATTTTCCCGCCACAGGATGATGGTGACACGGTTGGTAGCGTATTTCGCGGGTTTTTCAGCATCGGTCGCAGGCGTGATCCAGTCAGTAGATTGCCAACATCTTCCACGTGTTTTAATTTGCTTAAACTTTCAAATTACAGAAAGAAAACCACGCTTAAAGAAAAACTCCGCTATGCCATCAACGCTAACGCAGGATTTGAACTCTCGTGAGTCGGCATCAAATGGAAAGAACTGAAGAGAAAGTAAACAGCATCTAGCTGCTCTTGGTATCTTGGTAGTGTCTTTGGACTACGGCACAAATAAGAGCCGCGCAGAAGTTACACTCAAAGGGAACTGCAACAGCATGAAGACAGAACTCCGTAGATGAAAATCGCGTGAAATTAAAAGTAACACTTCACGCTCTTTGCTTATCCAGTACAAGTGTTCTGATATTGCCACAGATTCTATGAATCTTGTATTATTCATTGACTAAAGATGCTAAATATACGTTAACTGGTGAATCATGTTACGCGTCACGAAAGACACGAGGCTCAGGCAGCGACCTCAATTGATTAACTAAGGAATAGCCTGCGTAGTCGGCGGGATTGTTAATTAGCGCGAGCAAAAAATTCCTTTCCCTTTCTGGCTTCACCTCCAAAACTCTCACACGCGTCAAAACAATTCCGCCAGCTACGTAGACTAACTAAGGAATTAAAAGACAGTAGTTGTGACTTGTTTAGGGGATAGACGTTTAGAAGTGTTGCCTAGAAATAGCAGTGCAGGGTTAGTTCTAGCTGTAGTCCGTATTTTTGTTTTCTACCAAGAAACAGCAAAGATTGTGTAAACGTTTTTCTGTACTTCAAGTTAGGACAAATTAGCAAAGTTTGTGTAACGGCTGTCAACTTTAACTTTATTTTTGTGTCACGAAGGGAACAGTCGCAAGAATAGGACATAACAAAAGACGAATTTGCACTTGTTCTGGCACTCATGATTTGATCACAATCTGGGTTCTGGGGCCCGTTCCTCGAAAGTCCCAATGAATAGCGGGCCCGGAAAGCCACCTGAAAGCTGTTGTTGTTTATATTCAAGATAAGGGTTTCAATAGGTTTCCAGATGACAATATGAAAATATCTGTCAACTAAACAAAATGAACTGGTTTGTTAGCTAGGACCCACGTTCTCTTTATACTATTGAAAATTTGATTTCAGGCCCGAAACGTTAACGGGACTTTCAAGAAACGTGTGCCTCCACCATCTGAACGCCTGAAACCGGCTAAGGGAACTGAGACGGGAAGATTGTGCCTCCTTCCAGGTGTCCTTCCTCTCCTTTTCTCCATCCAATTCACCCCCTCCCCCCCCACCCCCGCTTCTGCGGCATGACTGTTGCGTTTCCCTCGTTGACGTTTTTAAATTGAGACAAATTTGACTACTGTTTCAAGTGCCTAAAGTGGTGCTCAGCCTTACGAAACGACAAAAGCAAGGTAACAAAAATTGCAGATTTAACGATCAAAACACTAAAGAACTCTGCACGTGCTTGACATTGGGACATGAAACTTGGGACATTTTATAAGACGTGAAGTCCAGTTGGATGCGGCCCCTAAAAAGTCAACGTCAGGAAAATTCACGTTTGTTTGAAAACTTCATTAGGCTCCGAGAACAAAATGCCTGTTCGAGAGAGGAGCACGGGCTCATTTTCCGAACAGCGGCTGGTAATCGAGCCTAACACTTCAAGGAGTTGAAAAAATTGGGAAGAAGTTGGAAAGGCTTCACTTTTTCAGGAGTTTTTATTTTCGTCGTGGTTTCGCAAAGCTTTATTTACAAGATACGATCTTGTATTCATTGGAAAGCTTTTCTCGACGATGAATACAAGAGCTACGTTCCTCGGGTAAGAGGAGGGAGCCGGGAGCAAGCTAGATGGATTTCATTTCCTAAGTAAACAATGCACCACAACCCTTGTTCATTTCTTTATTACTTATGTTAAAATTGATTTTACAAAAATATATGTACAAAGAGGCTATTCTTAAACCTTATCACAATAATTAGATAATTGTTCGTATTTTTTGGTGTACGCATAAATAGAAACCAAGTTTATTATAATAATCCTAACTAATTAAGAATGTTTGCATTCGCGAGTACAAGATTCACCACGACAAATATATTAAGTTCATTTGTAAACGGATCCTAAATTTTGACGCAATTGTATTACTTCTTTGACCCAAGTTCTGGCTAACACAACAACATCAACCAACAGGTACGAAAACGTACCTTAGCAAATTATAAAAAAACAGATCATGACTTTAGGGCGACTACACGAAGGCATCCGACTTCCATCGTCCAATGAGACAAAAGAAAGACTTTTCGTTGTACCATTGATACGTTGTTACTAAGCAACCTCACTGATCACTTAATTTCTAACTGCAGGTTCATAATTTTTTAGCGAAAAACTCTAGGGGGAGTAGGGTGAGAAGCAACTTATCTGTCATTGCTATGCAAAGTTAGTATTATTTTACAATCAATTCAAAAGACTATAATAAAAGTAATTCAAAGTGTATTAAAATCAGAGAGGTTTCCCTTTGGTGGTACCCAGAACTTGAGACCTTCAATTGTCTAATTAACAAGACATTACAAGTCATTATGGAAGCTTAAAACTAGAAAAATTCTACGAATGGTTAGTGCATGTGTATTACTAGGTGACTTGTCAAACTTTTGTTCCTCTACGCCCAACCCAAAGGGCTCTATCCAAAACTAGAAGTAATCACTGACTAAGGATCCGCGTTCGTCACTTACGCAAACGAAATCGAGTAGAAGGGTCCAGTTTCCCGGCCGAGATCCCCCTGTTTAAATCAGTAGGGGTGGCCAATCGGCAGTCACCCTCGAAACCTCGAAAATTTGTGGCTTTGTACCACACAAACAGCAAGATTAGGATGCGTTCTGACGAACGCGACAAATTAAATTTTAAAGGCGGAATCCATCAAGAAAATGAGTAATTTTAATTGCCAGTGGACAAAAACCTGAACCAGTATGATTTAAAGCATATTACATTCATTTTCACTCTTTTCGAGAGTTACAGATGAAATTAGTTCTCTAAAATAACGCAAAAAAATTTCTTAAGGGAGCCCGAGAAAATAAATTTCTAATTTCACAAAATGGACCAAAATGAAATCTTACGCATGAAATTTTACTTGCGTTTTTACAATTCCTGTGAAATTTAAAATTCGTTTTCTCAGGCTCCCATAACTCATTGTCTTCGGTGTTATTACAGCTGACTAACTATATCTATAGCCTTTCAAAAATGCGAAAAAGAATGCGATATGGTTTAAATTATCCCGGTACAAGGTTTTGAAAAATTAAAATTACTCAATTTCCTGATGGATTCCGTCTTAATTCTTCAAAAGCAAACAGTCAGCCACGGAGTAGGCCCAGAAAATATCACATAAAAGAATTCAGACGCTGTGTAAGCTACGGGCTTTTGACGTCACCGTTCGTGTTAAATAAAGGACGTTGTATGTATGCATACACGAAATATAACTTAATCTTCTTAGACTAATTAAATCTTGGTTCACGTCATGTTTTGTAGTTAGACTTTGAACAGCTAAATGAATTTGCCAAGAGCTTTTACCTTTGATCCTGGTCTGGAGTGTTCAATTGGCAGAGAGCCCTAATAGTGAGAAACAAATTTCTTGCATTTTTCAAGCCTTTGAGCTAGGGGTACAGTATTAATTGGTGAAAGATTAAGAAACTTGGCGGAAGAGATTTTTTCCCTCGAAAATTTGGAAGGGTTAAGATTGAAAGAGTTTTGACGAAAGGTACAACTCGATAAAACCGGCTTTTTCAAATGTAATTTCAAGCGAAGCCATTGGTTTCCTACACCTTGAAAGCAACAGCTACACTTGTAACTTACACTTAAAAAAGTTAATTGAATCGATCCGGCACGACACGAGATGTCTGTTGTAATACTACTGCGACGCCTCCCACACAGCATCAATGTTTAGGTATTGTGTTGAATATTTTAAGTGCTGGTCCAAGCTTCAGCTTGAGAATGTTCACCATATCATTCTGCGTCAAAAGGAGAAACGCTTCACCGTCAATTTGCTGAAAGAAACATCAAAAACATTAGTTCATTAAGAAGAAAGCGTAATAAGTATAAAAAGTCCGTTTAAACAAATACCAAGAAGATTGTCGTAGTTAAAGACGCAACCTATGCAGTAGCGAAAGGAAAGACTGAAAAAATTCAGGCTTGCCGGGATTCGAACTCTGACCTCTGCGATACTGGTGCAGCGCTATAACCAGTACAACCTGCTCAGCAAGCCAACTGGGAGCTGGTCATTAATATTGGTTCGTAATATACCCAGAAGAGATGAAGACATGAAATGATGAATATGTGAATATCATTTACGGGAACAACAAAATAAAGAAATAAATGAAAAGAAGATCATAAGACGCAACTTACGTAGATGCGAAAAGAAAGCCTGAAGCTTTTTGTCTGTTAGTCTACCTCATTCGGTAATTGAGATAATGGAAATCCACTTAGGATGTTATGTTTACTTTGTCTGAACCTTTTTGGTGACATGTCTTTCTTTCAGTATAAGACTATTCTTGAGAGTGGGAACATACCTGCTCGCCGAATACCTTAGCCTGGTCCGGGCTTATTGTTCTCACGTGACTCATCACGTCATCAATAGTCCATTTCATGATTCGCTGTCTTTCGCTAGAAGCGACGCCGTCATTCTCTAAGTTAATGGCGGCCTTGAGCTCGCTAAGACCCATCATTGAGAACTGACTTCCTAAGGGCCATGGGAACGAGAAAGGGGTGCTATGCTGGATCGCCTTGTCAGCATCTGTCAGTAACAAAAACATGTTTGTCCTCAGGTAAGCTTCTGTCGAATCAACTGGTTTTGCTCTGGGCCAAGTTGTTTGAGGGACAATTAGCGCCCGAAAATCCAGAGTTTCCACGACTCCTCCCGCACCCACATGCTCTATTAAGAGCAGGAAAACGGCCCAGCGGCCCAGGCCTGGCTGCTCAAAGATAACCCAGGATATACGCCAAATTTGAATTCAAATCGGAACTCTTTAAGATGCAAATTCCTGTTAACTCTTTTCGCCTACAATATGATTTTTGGATGTTAAAATGACGAGAAAAAATTGATGGAAAAATTTCCTTTGAACAAAAGAAACAGGAACTCGGATTAAGATTTAACCTCGGATTAGCCATAGTGGGATTTCGGACAACCGGGCGCAGGAATTTAGCTCACCAGGATTCAATAAACTTCGGACCTGTACTCATTACTTGGAACACTTAAGTTTAAAAAAACCAAAATAGAGTCAACGCTACGTCCACCGAGCCTCCTACCCGGGGTTATTTCAAAGCATGTATGGTGCTATCCACCGAATAAATCACTCTCCAGTAGATATTTCAGTGTTAAGAGAGCCAATTGCATTATACACTAAATACAGTACTAGCTAATGTTAACATAAGCAAAACACTACTTACATCTGTAATGACTCACAAGATGTTTGTCATCTTTCGTGAAACCTTTCCTAGAAAAAAAGGGTTGAAAAATATCAACCTCAGGAGACAGTGGAACAGAAGCTGTACCGCAGTCAGAAACAGAATATGAGAAGCAAGAAAAGAGAAGATTTGTTTTATTGAGTGATTTGCGGGTAATTTCCAACTTGTGGAAAATAACGCTTAGACGATAATGATCTACGAAGATGGCGACAACAAACTACACAGTCGCTGGTTTGCACGTGGCGTCACGACGACCATGATGGTGATCAAGCTGAACATGAGTGATTCTACCTCTGGGAAATAAACTCTATTTTCCCGCCTGTTCGGCGTAAAAAGGGTGACATTGTTTTAACCAACATAGTATGCATGGACATCTTAGAACGTGGTTGCTAACCAAGAACGCGTAGATTGTCAAAACAAGGGATAGAGATACTTGGTGCTTAAAAAAGATCGTCTACTAATATAGTTTATTAAGGAATTAAAAAAGGTTTAAGCAGTAAAACCGGTTTTATACCTGGAGGAGCTCCGTGTAGATATGATGCTGCCACCCACAGGAACCTTCAATGATCCGCTGGCGGAGGGGGGAATGAGTCCAGTAGGGGAAAGTTGCGATGTCTTCTTGTTCACAGGAGACTTGGACGCTTGTTTTGTGTAAATCTTGGAGAAGTTTGCTTCGTTATTTGGGCAACCCGACAAACTAATTTAAACCAATCAAATAAATAATGATTTATGAGTAAAATATTCGGCAAAGAACATCTTAGTAGAAATCAAAAGAAAGACAGGTGGCGCTTCCGTACTAAATTGTCGGCATTTTTGGTTTAATAGTAAGCACCCGAGAAAATCCTAAGTGACACGGATGGGAAAGAGAAACTGGAAAGATTACGACGCACTGAATCGGGTTGAAAGACAACGGACCGATGTCAATTTGAATGAAAGTGGGATTTTGCCTTGGAATCTTTTTCATGCAAATAACAAAACGCGGCGTCTGTCCCATGTAACCTCTCAACAGAAAATAATTATACAGCGAAAACTGTACATGTATTAAGCCGAAACCCAAAAGAATTCTACAGAAAATATGGGATTTTGAGATTTGCTGATGATCGTGTGCGCTTAGTACAAGGTGTACGCTGGATTCACTGTCAAGTTCGTTTCCAGAAAAATAGATAAAATTTTGCCGGCCGTACGTCAGCTATACCAAATTTGCTTGCTGCTATTTCATGCAACAATGGAAATAGAAATTCACAGCAGTTTTGTGGGGAAAGCAACTTACGTGTAATGCGTCTTCCAGTGTCCAGTCACGTGACCCATGCCATCACATCCCGGGGTGGGACAGACGCCGTCTACAGTTGGACTGGGAGGTTCAGCTAAAATCGAGGGAAAAAAGAGACAGACAAACAAGTTTACTAGACGTCAAAAAGAACAAAGGGCTTTGAACACTTAAAAGCAACTAGTTTTTCCTAGAATTTAAATTTGACTTCTGAGAAAGGCGGCTTCCTATAATTCTAAAATTATCGGAGGAGAAACGACATTTTGCGGCCGGAATCAAAGTTCAAAAGATGTGTCATGAAAAGTAAAATGAAAAGTAGAGACTTTCGTTCTTTAACACACTTGAAGGAAAATTAAAGTTACGCATCATGGTGATCCTAAACTCAAATAAGAGTTTAGAGTTATTAGACCTCAGACGAGTCCACAGAATGAATCACACCTTGCGACTAAAACAATGATGACTTACGTTTAACTTCTTTAACTGCGCCAGATTTCTGTTTAGATGCGTACGACCAGTCCGATTCCTCAGTCATGGAATTGTTAGAGAGCCGATCCACAAGACAGGAGTCTTTGTTTAGGTTCTGCAGTGAGTAAGGACAGCCAAACGTACTGTGATGCGTGGAGTACTTAGCACCCTTCACGTGGCCGATACCTTTACACCCAGGGGTCGGACAGGCAGCGCTGGAGATCTTCTCCCGTTTAGCTAAAAACAAAACCAAAAACATCAATTTACTGGGTAGTGAGTACCGTATTTACTTGATTAAAGGCCGCAGCGTTTATAAAATTTGCAGCGTTTCCACGGATGCGACGTTCATTTCAAAATCGAAAATTTCTTCAATCACTGACAACAACTAAGGTTTATCATTTGGAATTATGATGTAAAACACAAATAACTTTTGTGGAGTGGAGACTTTAGAGAGGGCAGTAATTGACAGTTATAATGACAAGTGAAAAACTAGTGTCCCTCAAGGTCAGTTCCAACTGTGTCACTTTTTGCTGAGATAGCCTGGGAATTGTAATTGATTGGCTTGTGACAGATTTGTACCGAGTTGTACCGTACTTGTTATTTTTTTCTTACAATTCTTAAACAAACCCTGCGCAAACTTCTGACTGGGTTCGTCGTTTAGCGAGTAACTACGGTAGGTGTAAAGACTTTTTGGTTTCTCTGGCAAGACTCCCGCGCACACTAACCTCGCTCGCATCAGTATACTTGATCTTAAAAACTAATTCGCCACCAAGAAAGTACTCTGCACAAAACAATCCCTCCAGCTATGTATTCTAGTATGAATAGAGTTTTAGAAGAGCCGCGAAGCGATAGAACGCGCAACGTTGCTCGGCATACTTACTGAGAGGGGGTTCCAATGCATGTCCTGTTTTCTCACACCAGCCCACCGGATGCAAGTCAAAAGAGTCTGCATCAAACCAGTCATCATAGATGTCATCCCAGCCGTCAAAATGCACCTTGACTCTGTACTCCTCCACGGCTGCCACTTGGGCGGCGCGCACCAAGGAAGGGTTCCTTTTGTCCACAGCTTCCAGCTTCTCCAGAGGCTTAAAACTCGGCTTGGGACGCTGGAAAAAAGAATGAGGATAGCTACAGACACGACTCACGTTTCCACTAAAGGAAGGTCTATTACTGTACAAAGAGCCTTTTCCTCTAACCTTGTCCGTATGCGAATTTTGAAAGAGGCCTCAGCCACTACAGTGCTCCAAGCTCAACTTTTTGCAAAGTCGCCTTTAGGGGACTCAAATTATAAAATGGTCGCCAGTAAAAAAAGGAGGCGAAGAGGCGAAAACGTCGTGATGGTCGCTTTAACTTGCCGCCAAATATAATTACTCTATATGAAAGTGGCCGTTCCCTCCACCTTCAAACAACTTCATTCCTCTTCTAGTAGATATGTTCAAAGCAAATTTAAGAAAAGACAGAAATTAAAACCGGTGTCTATGTACTGTTTATTATTTTTTCATCTATTTTTTATTTGGCCTAGATGGGGGTTTCAGGAATTTAAACATTCAACTGACCTTTTGAAGAGATCCGGAGGAGCAGCCACGGTGCCAGTGTTCCTGAGATACTCCTCCCACTGAAAAGTGTAAACTTCATCATCTGACAAACAAAACAAAATTATAATTGAAAAAGCAATCGACAGGATCACAATGTAGTAGGACCTCTGGGAACAGACTCCTAAACAGAGGAAGCCCTAGTTCAGATTGGCTCCTGTCGTTCTTTGACCAAACAACACTTATGAGCCTGGGTGTCCTCAACACTTATTGAAAAAAAGAAGTGATAAGCCAAGAAATTTTAGTTTGGAAACCAGATGACCACCTACCGTTTGGTGGATTAAGTTTCTTGCCATTCTCCGCACACCATCCCACTGGGTGGATGTATGGGCAGTCATCCTGACACCAGTAGTCATAGGAGTCATCCCATTCATCAAAGTGAACCAAGAAATGATTGCCAATCACGTTTGTTACCGTGGCAACACAGATAAGATCCGGGTTCTTGCGATCTACAGCTTCCAGCTTCATGCCAACTTTGAATCCGTGCGAGGTTGGTTGAACCTGGGTTGTGAATGTTTACGTTTAATGGCAGGAAACTCTTCAAAGTAACCATTACAATGCCCAATTTGCTTGCATTAAAACCTCGCACCTGCGCACGGCCTCTGTACCTAGCACGTTGCCTTTAAATTCATACATACTTCTTTTATATTGTGAGAGAATTAAAAAAATTGGCCATCTTCTAGACTGGTACATGAGAGCGCTATAATAAGGGCCAGAAGGTTGTACTTTGAATGACGTCACAGACTGTTTTGCACGCTTTTTTTCACAATGCATAACAGTTTCCTCTCACTAACTCGGCCGAGTTTTAGTGCCATTTCTAATGACGGTTTTTAATCCAGAAGGTGACTAGAGCTGAGCCTAGTTGTTCAAAAGTGGTGAAGCGCTATCCACAGGATAAATCATGATCAAGTGGATAAGTATTAAAAAAAAAAATTCGTTCAGATCCACCGGACAGAGACATGTCCAGTGGATAGCCTGGCTATCCACCTTTTGAACAACTGGGGCCTGGATATTAAGGAAAGTATTCACAAGGACTGGAAACTCAAAAGAATTCACAAAGAAGTCAACATACCTCTTTAAAAAGATGTTCAGGAGCGGCTTTGGCGCCGTTTTTCTCCAAATATTTCTCCCAGTAAAATTCCTGCTTAGCGAAACCTGGAGACAGAGGTAAACAAAAAAGAAAGGTTTTGAATTTGGCATGGACATGATTAACACTAAAAGCAGCCAGTAAACTCTGGGAGGGTGAGGCAAGTTTATTTGGGGGTGTCTGAGACCGTTTGGACCGGCCGTAACATAAGTGTCTAATCTTAGAAAGATGTTTGTCTTACACGGAGTCAATCGAAAGAAAATAACTAAAGAGTGGTAAGAACCAACTCCAGACGTCTGTTTAAAAACATTTCACTGAAATGGGTGTGACCATTCAATTAGACGTCTTTACCAGCACTCTTAAATGGTACTATTTCTTTTTCAGCGTTTTAATTAAATTAAATTTGGAAATCTCGTCGAGTTTTGTTTTGAGTTCCCCGAGAATTCAGTGCAGATCGTCCATGATGGGTTTTTTAAGGCTAACGCCCCTATGGAAAATACATAAAGTAAAAGTCGCGAGTAAGGTTACCGACTATGAGAACTTACTTCTTGGAGGATGCAAGACTTGTCCGTTCTTCTCACACCAGCCCATAGGAAAGATGAATGGTGAATCCCAGTTTGTCCAGAAGTCGTAACTCTCAGACCAGCCATCAAAGTGCAGCCTCAGTCTTGCTCCCTTGACTTTGACAATCGTACACACACAGAGGTAAGACGGGTGTTTAGGGTCGACGCACTCCAGTTTGTAGTCTTTCTTAAACGAGTGGTTTGGCTTTGGAAATACATCTAGTGATGGGTTCTCCTAAAAAGTTAAAGACAAATATGCCATGTCTGGAGTGTTTTGATATTTGTCGCCATTTTTATCATTAGAGACCAGGAGACCTTTAGATTTTAATCTGACGTATGAGTACAGACCGAATTGGACCCCACTCAGTCTTATTACCATTATTAATACGGTGAGCTGAATCAAAGTTTCAAACTCGTCCAGTTGTTGTCAAGTCAGGAAATTAAAGAGAACCACATTAACTGGTCCTATGAAGCGAGTATTTACCGTACTTCAATTTTCTCCTCACAAAACCAGGCTAACAGCATTTTTTACTGTTAATTTTGGCAACAAATGCATGCAATAACTTCAATAAAGAAGAATTGTTACAATGTTGTCAATAGTGTTAGCAGTACTGACCTGTTTAAACACGATGTTTGGAACTGCTTTAGCGCCACAAGCTGTCAAGTATTCCGACCACACAAACGGTTTGGTAGAGTCATAAGGAACTAAACAAGAATACAATAGCATATTAAGGTCTTATACCAGAAATTTTACACTGGGAAGTACTGCCAAGTCAATTAGGGCTGCGAATATTTCAATTCAGTGTATCCTTTACCCATGGCAAAGAAAAAATTTTTTTTTCTCCCACTTTGAAATGCAATCAATAAAAATGCCTGGCCCCGGTTGTTGAAACGTTGGATAGTGCTATTCACCGGATATATCACTATCCAGCTACCCAATCTCCAGAGGTCCGTTCTCGAAATACCTGGGATAAAATAGCCCGTGCGAACAACACAGCTTCGCAACGAACTAACAGGAGTTAGCAAAGAAAAAGAAACCTATGGCACCCAGGGTACTATCGAGCTTATAGGTATTAGGAAAACCAATTCCGCCATCTACTAAACAGAAATTTATCCGGTGGATAGCGTTATCCACCCTTCGAACAACTAGGGCCAGTAGTTTAAGATACTTGGGTCAGGAAAATCACAAACAATTGCAGCTATTTCGCTTTTTACTTGTCTTGCAACAATCATCGTCACCATCACAATTTTCAACGAATTATTCAGTGAGCGCACTTCTCACGGCCAGTCCTCAAAAGGAGAAATCCGCCAAATAAAAGAAGAGAGAGAGAGAAAGAAAACTGAGTAACCTAACCGTCCTCTCCGTTTATCAGGTTGGATGGTTCTATGGTAATTTGCTGTTTGGCTGCCTTTATTTTGTGCTTTTCTCCTTTACTTTTCAATTTAAATTTGCCCATATAGGGAAGATCTTGGGGCACTGCTGCGGTATCCTGTGAAAACCAAAACAAATCAGTAAGACTGAGGTTCAAATGTCTGCGTTACATAACAAGCGCCTTCAGAATTTTTTAATATCAGTCTACAAGAGCCTATTTTTCAGTCAGTATCCGACCTATATATGAGGAATATGTTTATTAATCGCCGTACAAACTGTAATATTTGCGTGGTATCAAACCTTCTGTAGCTACTCTGAAATTCGAGGTGAAATAGACTTAAGGTTATATACGCACGTATATATTTTTTGTATGTAGACAAATCAAACACGTCTACAGGTGTTAATGTTTAGTTCCTTAAACCATTACTGATCTTTAACTACCTACTTATATACAGTTACTAGCCAATAACCACCACAGACATTCCAGGGCGGGAAAACACGGGACAGTATCCATTGATTAACTGGAAAAGAGGCTCCAACTTATTTGGTCAAACCAAAGCTTACCAGTGAAAGACGAAAACATGAGAAGTGTTTTCATTCTACATGTACATATGAAACTCTCAAAGCTTTTTAAAATTTATTTCAATTCTAGATGTTTAAGGCTTTTAACACTTAAAAAGCCGGACGTTTCGTTGGAGCGCGAGAAAAATTCGCGACTTCGGCGCTGATTCTCTTGGCCCAGCCATGCTTTTTTCTTTATCGTGCTCCAATTAACTGTCCGCTAGACAGGATACGTGATGGTAGTCTGACAATCCCTAGGGACTGCTAGACGTTTTTGCAAGGATATAACTAAAGAAGCTTACTTACATAAGCTGTCGTGGCTAGTTTTTCTGCCATTCCCATTTTCTTTCCTTTTCCTTTCTTCTTCTTTTTCACAATCTTGCCATCCGAAGTTTTGACCTTTCGTACAAACTCTCTGCCTTTGTTTCTTCTGCCTGTGTAGACACCCACACAGGACAAGCTACAGAATCTCCCTGATGCTGAGAATTCCTGTCGCAGTCCATACTTTCCACACACCTCACAGCACAGTATATCATTAGTGTCTGGGGACCATTCGCTGTCTTCGACTTCTTGGGAGACACTAGTCCAAATAGCAAATGTATTCAATGTAAGAGACACGCACAAATCACGTTATGTAAGAGAATCCATATTCTGGAATCCGGAAAATTTTTGCTGCACAATCCGGAATCCTGGGCTTTGGAATCCGAAATACACCTCAAGGAATCCGGAATCACACTGAACGTTGGAACGCGGAGTTCAAGTTCCACTGATAAAAATTCAAATTCCAGTACCTGTAAACTGGAATCCGGCGCGAAAATCCCGCCAGACAAGACTGTCTTGGATTCTCTTACATTAGGCGACACAAAAACAGGATACTTTAAGAACCAGAGAGAAAGCATTTTGGCAACAGTTTTTTAACGTTGAACGTAACTGTTTCAAACGCAAACCGAGGGACATAATAGTTTTAAAAGTTTATACAGACTACATTGAATCAAAAATTTATGATTTCAGTAAGTCTTGCCTCGCATTTGAAGACATGAGATGCCTGGACAAGGAAGACATTATGATTGAAAGCCACCCAGTTGAAGGATCAAACCCAAGGACCCCATTAAAAAATCCTAAAATGAACACAGAACCAATATCTCCAAGGGATAGATCATTTCTGTAGTGAAAACTCTACAAGTAAGTATAGTATAATCATTTCATTCACAAAATTAGAAAAATACATTCCAGGAGGATAGAAAGGTTACAGTGGCATGCTGTTCAACCAGTTAGTAGCTTTGAGCCTTTTGTTTTGCACACAGGTCTAACAAGTTTTATGGAGTGGATATGGTTTTTAGTCTCTCGATCTATACATCACAGGGTATTTTACTTTCCCCATTAACAGGTTGAACCGGATATAGCTTTCAGTCTCTCTGTACTTGGCAGGGTTTTTTACTTTACCCAAACAGGTTGAGCCAGTAATGGTTTTTAGCCTCTCTGTAGTGGCAGGGTATATTACTTTACGGTTTTTAGTGCCTCCATACTTGGCAGGGTATTTTACTTCACCCAAACAATTTTGAACCAGTTATGGCTTTTGGTGTATCTGAACTATGCAGGGTATTTTACTTTACCCAAACAAGAATGGCTAAATAAACATCCTTTTTGAAAGACTGCTTACACAAGATATTCGTCATCCCAAGACAGGCCCAGTGAAAGTTACAAAATCTAGCCATTTCTCTCGTACACGTCCTGGCATGGAGGCACAAATTTTGGCCTATACAATTCATCTGAATGATGTCACAAACTTTCTGATGCTTATTAATTTTTTAAAGACTTATCCAATATTCTTAAACTTCAAGTTCCTCAGACATACCGTAAAGCAATATTCAATACTTGAGCCATAGTTCGTTAGAGTCTTGTTTATCCCCAGTAAATGGGGCAAAGTTACAATAAGGGAATGGCCACATTTTGCAACTTCAGCACCAATCCTATACATGTCCAAATGGACAATAGACTATAAACAATAGACAAAATTTGATTTGGGGGCTTGTACCAGCTGATACATCAGCAGTTTTCCAAATAATTAAAAATAGAGATAATTACATACACACAGACACTTTTGTCTTTGTGTATGTAATTATCTCTATTTGTAATAAGTTAATTTATGTATAGTGTAAAAAATAGTGTAGCATATATTGTAATATTTTTAACTATTTGGAAAACTGCCCCATTCTCCGATCTCCAATGCCTACTGAACACCCTGGGGTAGGGGAGGGGTGGGTACATGTAAGCACCTCTTGATCCATAACTTGAAAAATGAGCATCTAATAAGAGTGAATAGAATGTCACCCAAAAATTAATAGCAAGGCATGTGTTTGAATGCTTCAAAATGAGAAGAGAGAAGGAAGACAAAAAGTAGCTCAAAATATGTCTACATATGTAATTTTCTCTATTTGTAATAAGTTAAGTTATGTATAGTGTGAAAAATAGCTTAGCATATATTTTAATTTTAAATTATTGGGAAAACGGTTGATGTACCAGCTGGTACAAGACCCCAAATAAAATTTTGTCTACTGTTTATAGTCTGTTGTCCATAGTTACAATATTGTAATATTATTAGCTACTTTTTGTCTTCCTTCTCTCTTCTCATTTTGAAGCATTCAAACGCAATATGAAATCTGACAATGAGCAGAATTCAAGGGTTAGTCGAGGGTTAAAAGTAAATTCCTACATACCTTTGTCCTTTTTACTGGCAGTAGTAGCTGTTTCCTTGGTAACAGTTTCATTAGTTTCCTCACTGGTGGATTTACGATGTTCAGTTTGAGTGCTCCAGGTTATTTCTCCTTTCTCTGTTTCCACTGTACTGATTATTTCCAGTGTGCCAAACTCAGTTAGCTTGAACTTTAAGTTACTCCCTGTAAATGAGTGAGAGAGGTGAATGTAGAGAAAATTTTTTTTCTATTATGAAAAAATCTAGCTGAATTAAAAGAAAGCCATCATGATATAACAACGTAATAGTTTATTAATGATCGTGTGTTTAATCAATGATAGATAGTGTCAAAATTGTGTTTTTAATCCCTGAGCTTTAATAATGAGTCAACTGCCGCAAGCAGACACAGTGAGACCCACGTACGCACACTTGCATGGTTACTATTTCATTAACCTGTTATCCTGCCTTGAGTGACTAAGATTTTTGTTCCACCTTCAAGGCTGTGCTCTAAGAAAAATTGAAGGGAGCCCAGTGGGTGGAGCAGCCCGGAGTCCAGCTCTAGGGTGCCCAGCATATGATTTGTATGAAAAATCTAAGATTTTCTAGTCGCCCGAGGGCAAAAGTTAGGCACCAGGGGCCACCAGGCTCTGCTAGAGCACAGCCCTGACCTTTGTACAGCTGCAGATCTCAGCAGATTTTCTCAAATTAAACCAGCTTAGCTGTTATTATATAATTCCATTCTATATTCTAAAAGCTAAGAATTTACAATGTAGAAATTATAGATACTGTAGATGATTGATTAAGTGCCGCTACTAGAAAAAGCGCTGCTCTCGCATAAGTGCCGCACCTTTACCGAAAATATTTTAATAAGCGCCCCTCTCAAATTAGTGCCGCAGCACTATTGGGTATTTACAAATTAACGCCCCGCACCTTTGTTATGGCACTTCATATAAAGAGATGTCAAAACCTTATTGCTTGAGAAATACTGACCTCGACCAACTCAAGAGTTCTAAAGATTTAATGAAGGGAAACTCAAACCGGGCTCATATAACAGTTCAAGGTGTACAAAATATTATTTACATTACATTGCGCATACCTAGCGCACGCTTCACTTAATTCTCTCTATATTCCACTCAGTGTTTTACCCGCAGTTGAAATAAGCGCCGCTCTTGTATAAGTGCCGCACGTAATCAGGGAAAATGAAATAAGAACCGCGGCGCTAATAATCGATCATTTACCGTACTCCCAAAGATATATATATATTATAATACTTGGAGTGATCAGTCAGTGTTTACCATGACTGTCTGGTAAATTTTACACAAACGTTCTACTTGTTCTATAATATTAAGGATGCCAGCATTCCGGAGAAGAAAGTAAAAGAAAGCCAGGCTGCTGTGTCAGAGGAGTGAGCATTCATACCAGTAATATATTTTGCATGTCACTTCCCTACATGGGTCAATGACCATGACTTGCAAAGCAGCACTAGGTTTAAACAAAGAGCAGCACACAAAGAGTGCATTCAATAAGCCCTCTCAAAAAATGTTAACTTGTACATAATAATATGTCGTATCTTGTTTTTCCTTCAGAATACTTGAAATGAGATTGGTTCAAATCTCACAACTAATTCTTCAGTTATCATCAACTACCGTTGAACAAATTTGGAAGACCTTTTGTTGTGATATCTGGAAAATGATGTCAAAACTGTACCGAGAAATAACCAAAAAATTAAACCCTGGGACGAGGTTGTGTTGTTTTGGTAGGGTAGCAGAAAATGGCTGAGCATTTCACAAATTTTGCAAAGAAGAGACTTTTGCCTAAACACAAAGCAAGAACAGCAAGAATACATCTTGACGGATGACATCTGCTATTTCGAAGAATATCTACCAGACTAAACATTTTCTTAATCCTTAACTTGCAGAGAAAACAGGCAAATGAAGACAGAAACTTAACATCAATCAGAGTAAGCATTATTTAGCTTGTTTTTCAACTAGAAAATTATAATAAAGCAATATTGGGTTTGGCTTTTGTATGATCTGTATATGCAAATCTGAGAGGGTGTTATCCGCCCCAGCTGATTACACCCTCCTAGACTCATACTCAACCTTATCAATTTATCGCTAATTATTGCAACATATTATATTATTTATTTATTTATTTGTTATATAACCACCAATGAAATACCAGGTGAGCTTTCACATGAGAACATGATATCTTCACACGTGAAGATAACATGTTATCTTTACATGTGTAAAGATCACTGTTGCTATGGCTACATCATAAATTTCCCTTTTGCACTAATCACGCAATCATGATTTTGAAAAACGTTTTGAGCTTAAAACTCAATAGGTGTACTTTACCTTATCTTTTATTTTTTGATGTTTGAAACCTGAAAGATCTTTGCAAACATGCTGAACTAATTTTGATTTTTTTTATGTTTTTAATCAAGTGGATATTTTAAGCAATAAAGTACTTGCATATTTACCCTAGACATTAAAAAGCAGTATATATTAATTTTCCAAAACCCAATTAAAACAAAATAATTATTTGTTTTGATTATTTTTTTATAGATATATACACTACTATAATATGCATTATCTGCATAAACAGATCCTGGAAAAATGTGATGAAAAGACAAATGCCATAATTACTTGGCTGTAAACTGAGGAAATTTTTCGAAAAGAAAAAGGGAAGTGACCGCTTAAACCTGAGAAAACTGTGTGATACAAGATGGTTCCAGATTCACAATTTCCTCATACTGCTCCAGGGGTTTTATTAGAAGCCGAGACTCAGGTACCGCCACATGTGTTCTCTGTCTTCAAGCAAAATGGAAAAGATGACTCTAAAAAACACCTTTTCAACTTAGTCCCCCATCAACTCAGCCTTAGACAGCCTTCTACTTTTCAAAAATAGTGAAAACCTGCTGCTCATACTTGTCTTATGCTATGGTCAGTCCCAAAGTATACCTATATCTTTTAATATTTTAAAGCACACTAGTATGGTCACAGGGAGGATCGAGCTGGTGATCATCTTTATAACCAACCGAAAAGTGGTTCAAAACCTACAAGGGATTAATGATCACCAAGTGATAAATCAATATTGAATAATGATGGGAGCATCAGAATTGGAATTTTATTCATTTCTTTAGGGAATTGAGGTTTAATAGCAAGACTGTGCTTTTTCTGACCTGGGGCAGTTACAAAGGGATGGGGATCAGGTCTATGCCCTGTCTTCTATAAGCATTACCCCAGCTACTAGTACTTTCATAAGAAACCATAAGAAGATATCATAAAAATCTTAGTAAATGTATGATAGACAATAAGGGGCTATTAAGGTACCTGGCAAAGTAGCAATGCCATCCTTCCAGTCCAAAGCTGCAAATGGATCATCATCTTCAAAAGTAGGTTTCTTCTCCTTCTTCACTTCCACTGCAGCATCTTTTGACTTTATGTCATCACTCTTGTTATCACTTATATTGTTATTTTGTGGTTGCCCATTAATGACATCACTTTTATCCTGTGATCTTACAACTTCATCTTTTAAAGCTTGATGGGTCAACTTTTCATTGGTCAATGTTATGCTTTCCATGCTGGGTAGATCGGCTGGAGCCTGGCTGACAACACACTTGACGTCTTCATTAGAAGGTTTGGAACTTTCACTTGCAGCTGTAAATTTTTAAAAATATCACAGCTTACCAATCAGACATAAAATTGTATAGGGAACAATACTGTGAAAAATTAAAAGGGCTCCTGAAAAGAAACTTCCAGAGAGAAAGAGAGAGGAATAACATCCAGTAAGCCTTTTTCCACATCATCCTAGAGGGAACCCAAACTGAAGGGTCAAGGGTCAAGGTGACAGTGGTGACAAATTCTGCAACCTGATTGAGAATTCTAGATTTTTCTATCTCTACCCCGTTCACAACATTTTGTCCAGCATTTTTCAGGCTGAACCAGCAGATCTATAATGAATCAGAGAATGAATATGACTCTTAGATTCCTACATGTATTATAGATCACATGGTCAAAAGTTGCATAATACATGTATGAAGGCCTTTTCCCACCAAGGATTGAGAAAATGGCCTCAATGAGAGCAGTCACTTTTAAGAGGACATTGGTGTCAGCATGATATGACTTCATAAGCACTTTGATACTATAAGAGTTTGTAGAGTATGATAAAAATGGCAATCTGAACAACTATGTATGGATGCAAACAATAAATTCAAAACCTTTGGTTACCGGCTTATATAAAATCCACAGAAATTAGGGACTGTTTTTTGGTGCCACAGCAGCTTTATTGTAACTGACACTACAGCTGTAGATGTGGACAGCATCAAGAAAATTGTCTTCACCCATTTACTAAAACATCAATAATTGATGTTTTAGTAAATGGGTGATGTAAGAATGGACTTGTTTTATTTGGTAAAACCAAAACTAAGAAGTAAGAGATGTTTTTCTCAGCTATATCACCAAAATGAAACATCAGTCTAAAATCTCCACAATGTACACTGTAGCAGACATACCAGATTTTATGAAATCAGCCTAAGTTTTGTTTTTGTCTTTTACAATTTGTTTAAAAATCAGTTGCAAAGCAGGCCGACCATTCCTTTGTCTTGCCATGCAATGCTCCTTGCAATAATTATGCTTGGGAGAAGTGTTGCATGATGAGACAAAGATCAACGCTTATTAAATAGTTATAGAAGACCAAAAAATCATACCATGTAAACCAGCTTTAATAAATAAGGTGTACTATGTCTTTTAATATGGGGTTCAAATATTGGGGTTTTTATTATTGTTATTTCTTACCTAACTTAATATTTTCAATGCTTGTAGGAGGTATTAGTGTCTGAGTGAAGTTCATTATCTGTTCTTCTCCATGACTCTCCATTCTCTGCCGTTTAGTCTGAGGTTCAAAGTTTTCTCCAGTAACTGTTGAAGCAATCGCTAAAGCAGCTTCTGTTCCATTCATCCTGCTGTGACTTTCACTAATTCCTAAAAACAAACATGTTTAAAACAGTCATGTTTAACATAGTAAACAATAAATATATAACTTTACCCAGATGATCATACTCAACCTACTTATGAAAAGACTCCTGGTTTCAAACCTTCCACAATAATATAACTATTAAACTTAACCAATTTAGTACATATGCAACTACCTCTGCATTACAAATTAATTTATTACTAATATTTTTTTCTGGAATGCAACCTACATTTTTGTTTTGTTTTTTTTTTCCAAAGGTGAACTGATCCAGAAACAGTGTTACAAGTTGAAAAGTCTAATTGCAAGTTTGACAAACTTACCAGAACTAAATGCCAAGGATTAACTTGAAGTATCATTTCTGCTCAATTATGGATAAAATTTTTTAACCTCCCCCACCCCACCAAAAAAAGAAAAAAAGGTGACATTATCATATGCCTTTAATATTTGTTATGTGAAAACCAATCACCTGAACTTGGTTCACATATTACATTGTAATATAAGTGATGCAAATCCTGAGCAGAAGAAAATAAAAATGCACTAAAAACATTGCTTTGTTTAAAAGAAGGCTCTAGCTTTTTGAAGTCTTATTACGTTGGAAGCAAACAAAGATTTAAAAATGTTCTTCATCTTTATTCAAAATAAAAGAAGCTGAAAATTAATTATCTGTTTTGATAGCTATCAGCAGTAAATGTTTTAAGACACAAAACGTGTAGATGATGGAAAATCAGTTTCATTTTTACACAATGATATTGTAAAGAATATCCTTCAAAGCCAGGTGTTAATCAGTATAACTCACGTGATTTTATGTTCAACGCATGTGTTCACCTCTTTAGACAAAAAATAAAACAAATTCTTTTTAAGCAATCTCTCGAAGCTAAAAGGCAATTACAACTCCTCGGAAAAGTTTCTTAAACGCGAAAGACTGATGAGATAAATTTTTTAAAAGTGTTTTTAGTATTTAATTTTTTGGCTACTTCCTTTTTGGAAGCGCTATACCGTCTCAAGGAGAAACACGTCAAAGTAAAACATAAACACCGCCAATTAATTTCAGAAAGGAAAGTTTTATTTGATATCCCTGGTTTTAAGAGATCGAACAGGCGATTAAAATTCCAAATATATTTATATTTGTCACTGAAAGACCCGATTGAGTTCCGTGTCATGAAACATTCAGTCGCGGTTTATAAACATGTTTCGTTCTAACCTTGAAGGCGAGAAAAATGAGTCTCGAAAAATAACCGTTTCTTCTGGACGCATGACAGCTTTGGTGTCAAAAACATCACCCGGGCAGCAAGAAACTTCACAAAGTATTTCTTTTTTATTACCTTTCTTTTCTTTTTTTTCCCGAGTTCAGAAATTAATGCATTGCGTGAAGCGTGCGTCATCAGTTAAATCGCTCGAGGGCAGAAATTTAATGAATTTCAGATCAAGTCAAAACTGTTGGATTGAGTTTGCAAAACTGGATCAACTATCGTTTCGAACAAAATAAAGGGTGACATGACAACTAAAATTCCGAAACATGGTAATCTAGGAGGGAACAGGACTTTCCGCGTTGTAGCCATATCCTTTTTCACGTCCGACACTGCTGGAAGCGAAAACAAGACGGCCACCAGAGGAGAAACAGAAAGTTTTAATAGGAAAACGACCTTTATAGCAGCGGTCGGACGATTTCCACGCTCCAAAATCAATCGTTGTTTGACAGCCTTAAGAAAAAAAAAAAATAAACTTCATGGAATATCAACGATGAAAAGTAGAACGAGCAAAAGCGAAAAATAGTGATTCAGTTCGGGGAATTAGTTATTTGTACTCTATTTTCGTAACAACCCGCGCAGGGTACCAAAAATCGTTTGTACTAACCATAATTCGGACAACAAATTGGATTTTTCTCGAGTTTTTTCCCATCAAAAAAGGAACGAAAACTCCCTAAATACTGAGATTTGTTATTAATACGAGGAGAAGAACGCGTTACGCTAACAATCTTACCGTAAACTTCAAGTTTTATCAGCAATCGTCAAGTCCACGCTTGAGGTGTTTTCGGGTGCGTGTTTGAATATTCAATAACCTTAAGTTTCAAACGTGTTCCTCAATCGAAACACTCTTTCCATGTATTTTGCTCGATTAGAACACTTTTAAAACAAAAAGGTTATTTCTTCGCCTTGCGAGGAAGAGGTTTTTCGGGATTCTAGCGGGTCATTTACGGCGACAAAAAGCCAAACTGTACAGTGTTCCTGTGTGAAATACTTGACCTCGTTTCCATGTGAATTCTTGTTGTGTTGGTTCCTTGTAGTCCATGTTGGTTTTCACTAAGTTTTAAACGACTGTTTTCGATCTTTTCACCCCAAAACCAAGCTTCAGTAACAAGGGAAAATCTACTGACTCTTTCCTTCTTGTTTGCAAAAAGATGTGGAACCGAACAAGGCCGTTTTAACAGGATTATTATGTGACACCCTTAAAACCAGTCATGGCTTTGCATGAGAGGACTTGGAAGAAAACTTACTTTTAAAATCAGCTTAAAGCCCCGAAAAGACAGCAAAATTCGTTTGAAAATGGAAGGAAAATTGTTTGCCCTCCTTCCTAGGTGAATTTCTTGGTATTGTAAGAGGAAAAAGGGGTAAGAAAGAGGATTTAGAAATCCTTACCAGTTGTGAAGTGAAGCCCAGACTTGTTCTCTCAGCAGAAATGAATTGACAGCTAACAATAGGATATCTCGCCGTTCGTCCAACTGCCAATCAAATGCCATAGGACAATGACACACGTGATTGAAGCTTTTATTATGTAAAACCACCGGAAATTTTCCGCGATGCCAAAATTTTCAATTTCGTGCGAAAAAAGCGAGAAAAAAATTCTCTTTGACGAAACAGGAATGCAAACAAATTCGCCATCGCGTTAAACATGTGCCTTGTAAACCTTTTGACAGTGACTCGTCGCGCGTTTATGTCGTTTGAAATGTTGATTTTAGATATTCTAAAAGTATGCAAGATTGGGGAACCCTTCAATTAACACGTTTTGCGTCACAAAGAGCGAATAATGGTTTTGATTATAGAATAGACAACCACAGTGTTTTTACAATAGCGACACGTTATGTTCTCGACAACGATAGATTTCCCGGGAAAGTTTTCATTTTAGTACTAAGAACAGTAACTAGTAAATTTCTCTCCGTGAATTATTCGGTTTTAACCATAAAAAAGAATAGCTTGTTAACCAAAAATAATCTTGTCACAAGATGGGCGCGATCGGGTGAAAAAGAACCGACAATGGATATAAACCACAGCAAAAATGAATCATCTTACGGCGGTGGTCATCTTTCAGATATCGCTCAAATGTTTCCTTGTTGCAAATATAAATATCCATACACGGTCTTCTCTCGTTAATATTCCGTTTTCTGTTGTTAAGGAGGCTATTACAATATTGATTTGGCATCATTTCGCCTTCCAGTATTTTTCAGTGTAGAGTATTTTTTTCTAGTTGTAATTCCGGTCAAATGTCTTGAAGGAGATCTTTCGGTCTTGGGACTTTTTTCGACATGACAAACATCAGAAAAATGGTGCCGATGCGCTTCTTCGAACTCCAAAAATATATCTGTTTTCTCGAGCCTCTTTTACTGCTTCAGTCAGCTGGAAAACATTACTCTAACATAATTTTCGTTTTCTTTATATTTCTTTTTGTACAAAAGAAATTTCTACTGAAAACATTTTCGTTGAAACAAATTTTAAAATGCATAAAATCAAGGGTTTTTTTTCGCCGTTTCAGTGTGTCTGACATAATATGACAGCTAAAAAGGCACCGACAAAGAACGCCAATTAATACAGACAAAAATATGAATTGCTACAGCCCGCCGCATGAATTAATGTGCAGTTCCGAAGAGCGAAGTTCTGTTGAAAATATTGAAGACTTGTCCCTTCATTGTCAATCTTACATTTTTTATGAGGAAACATACTGGTAGAACTGGTGGAAATCACGCGGAGAGGATAAAAGATCTTCCAACTCGACTGACGCGCCCGTAACACTAGTGATCCGTACATTCAACCAATATTCACATAAAAACGATGATACAAGATTAATGAAATGTCTGAATACGCTGAAAGACTCCTGGGTGTCCGGAAGCGACTTTAAAAAGTGCTCCAAGTACGTATTAAACTACTGCGCCCGGTGGCGATGTCAGTTTTCTTTTGCTGCTCTTGTGGTTGTTCTCTTTTTTTTCGGTCAAACGTCTGTCATTTTTGCTGTTTTTTTTTTCTGTCCCGTAATGAATTGGGGTATCTGTAATAGCGAGATGACCTCAAGACAAGAATTGACAAATTCAGTGTGAGTATTTAATAGTTCAGTTAATTTTGACAATTCTCGTACTAGAGAATCTATTAACCTCAGTTTCATTTGAATCAAACAGGACTGCAAGAATCGAAAGGCAAAACAGCATCAGTGCAGGCAGGCAGAAATATTTTCCAGTCCGATTTTTAATATCGATTATATTTTTAGCCATTGGGTGTGGTGTGTGGGTGAAGAGATACGTGTTCGTTTCAGTTTCTAGATGATTTTTTCCTTGGATGTTCCCGCCTGAGATTTATTTAAGTTAGATTAGCTCCATTGACAGGGGAAAATGTCGAACTTCTTCACGTGCATGGTTTGTTGGTTACCGACATGAGGAGAATTAGACCGGGGAAGGGCTGGAGCGATTATTAATATTGTCTTGTCGGCTTTCTATTTGGGATACCTTTTCGTAGACTGATAACGTGCTTCATCCGTCAGAGCTGTACCACGCTTCAGCTTTGAGCAGTCGGGGTCTCAAAATGTAAATGAAGACAATCCGTCTAAGCGTGAGTTTTACTAGCCTGAATTTCATCCGATTACTTCGAGTCGTTATTACTGCCTCAGTAACGTCGAACGGAGGGATTAATAACTTCTCGAAGTAATCGGATGAAATTGAGGCTAAAGTCTTACATATTTGATGCCCGGGGGGTTAATTTTTGCTGGGTTTGTGCAGTTTGCCC